GCCACACCAGAGGCCACAACATCTTGGTCTTCATATATTCACTCTGGACTAGTAAGGTTTAGAGTCCACCTATGGCCTGCTTGATTGATCAAAAGGTAGCACTAAAATGCTTAGACGAGGAAATAATCTATAGACTTATAAGAGATATAAAAGGAGTTGGGCAAAGATCTTGTCAAAAGTTGTTTGACCTTGTTTTCGAAACTTGGTCATGTCGGCAGGAAGACCTAGAAAAAGGCACCTAGTCCGGAGTCCATAGTATGCATGATCATTTCCGGAGTCGGACCGTGAACTTGGTTCATTCACAGACGTTTCGCCGGCATCGCAGTCGGCAGCGTCAGTAAGATTTGCCAGTCTTAGCACAACGCTACAACTCGGCAAAGAGACAAGTTGCGAAAGCAAGGTCAAACAACTTCCATACAACAAGAGGGGACTGCAACCATACAGAAGGCCACACCATCTTGCTTTTCACGCCTTCGATTAAAGATCTTGTTAGACAGCATACAGGACAGTGGGTAACTGGGTGTCCATTTCTCTAATTCTTAATAGTTGAGACGGCGGGAATGTCATGAGCCGACTGGAGCCTAGGCTTGAGCAGAAACTGACAAATTTTTTTCGGTTCTCTTTCAGAGCTAAACAACGGCCTGATGACGTCTTGCACAATGCGTCGATGCCTAAAGCTGACTCCTACTCTTCTAACGATGCCTACGAGGCCACGTTAAGCAAGGTATGTAATGAGCTAAAGCTTCCTGAAAGCCTGGCTGTTAGAATCCGTCGAGATCTGCTTGATGCCATAAGCGCCGACGAGACCGGACCGGATATGGAGCCAAAGCAGGTGGCAATCCTAGTGTATGGGGTACTGGACAGACACGGTCTGGAGCGTGACGGTGCATTGGAAGAGAGTCTAGTGAACGTCGTAATCAGCCTTATTCAGCAGAAGGCAAGACTCCAGGGCCAGCCAATGGAAAAAGTGGCGGCAACGAATGGAGCCAACTTGGAGCAAAAATTGACAGCGAACTCGATGGACGGACACTCGCTAAAGGATGTGGCAGACTCTGAAGCTCGAATAGAAGAGCCTAGTGTCAAAGCCGTGAACAATGAGGCACAGTGGAAAGGAGACGGAATGGTTGAGTCAAAAATTCTCGAGTCTGGCAGGGTCGAGGAAGTAGAGACTCATAGAACCGGCGATCCATTGACTATGTCGAGTGAATATCACACGCAGCAAATTGTAGCCTTAACTGAACTTGGCCTTTCCAAGATCTGGATAGATGAATTAATAGCAGAGGTTTCTAAAATCCCCAAGTTCGCACTGACCAACTTACGACTTCACAAAATCATTGGTTCTCATCTGGCCAATCACCAGATCACTTTGAATGAAAAGGATGAACTTCAGCTAAAAAATACATTGTTAGAATACAGGAACCAGACTCATGGTCCAGAGCACATCGGAGCCTCCGAGCAAAATGCAAGAACCGAAAGCCTCCATCAGCCAAGACGATCGGTGATCCAACTAGTCAGCTTTGAAAATAAGGAAGATGAAAATCTGGAAGGTGAGGAAGCCGATCAGACGCCTTCGGATGAATCAACAATGCGCGAAATGATGAACAGGACGTCCTCAGTCAACGAAAAGGCAAGAGAGCCTGTGACTGCTCTTGATACTGACAATGTCAAGACTTCACCTACCTCTTTGGGGAATATGGGAATTTCTGGTATGGCAGCAAATGACGGTTTGCCGAATGAGAAAGTATCCTCAAAACCAAGCGCCCCATTATCTTCACAACCGGCCGCCCAGCCTGCACATCCCGGAGTTAGTGGGGAAAAAACTGAAATCA